GCAGAAACTTAAAAATAATTTATTACCCTCATATTACAGAAGAAAAACTTGATTATTTATAAAAATGTAGAAAATACAACAAACAAAGAAAAAAATTAAAAGTCATCCACTGCCTCCGCTTCCTAGGGAGAACAGCTATAAACAGGATGACACATACGTAAACATTTTTCTATGCTTAAATACATATTTTTATTAAGAATCCATTCATTCCTATGTTCATGCTTATTTGTGTCTGACTCTTTGCGACCCTATGGACTGTAGCCCACTAGGCTCCTCTGTCCATGGGATTCTCTAGGCAAGAACACTGGAGTGGGTCACCATTTCCTCCTCCAGGGTATCTTCCTGAGTACTGTGACTTGATTGGAGTTTTCTTGAAGTCACTCCTGAAGCATTGTGATGGCTTTGTCTAACATTAATACATTTTTAAAAATGATATGTGTTGCGGTATGGCCATGAAAAGAGGGGAGAATCTGTTGCGATTGCAAACCAATGATGGAGGCAACTTCAAAAGGAAACCTGAATTGTAACGATGTTTCTATTTATGTAAAATACTGCCTTCACCTGCCAGGGATTGAACCCACACCCCCTGCATTAGAAGTCTTAACCACTGGACCACCAGGGAAGTCCCTTTTGCTCCTTTTGAAATACAAAACCAACAGATGCTCTTGTTAAAAATTTCTGAGTATAGAATAAAATGTATTTCTCCTATCTTCCAGTCTTCCTTCCTTGACGTAACCCTAAGACTGTGTACTTCATGTTTCTCTCCAGAAAATTTCTATGGACACACACACACACAAATAGTATTCAGTTAATGAATGTATCACAAGGTAGTAAGTAAAACCCTGTTATGTGGAAAATCAGGGTTTTTCCAAGTTCAGTGAACATCTTTGTGATTAAGCATTTGTACACAGTCACAATTGTTTCCCTAAGATAAACTCCAGAAAACAAATTGCACTATTTTAGCACATCTGATACGTGCAGTGCATTCACCCTTCACATGATTTATGCCAGTTTCTCACTGTCATCCATAAGCAACTTTGACTTTTTAAAAATCTTTAAAAGTATAACACATATAGAAAAGTGTCCAAGTCATGGGTTAAGCCTGCCTTGTCCAATATGGTAACCACCAGCCACAAGTGGCAGCTGAAGTGTGTTACACTAGAAATGTGGATGGTCCAAACTGAGGTGTGCTGGAAGTGTAAAATACCCAGTTTCAAAAGAACTGGTCCAGAAAAAAGTCCTGTGAAATATTTCATTAATGATTTTATGCTAATAATATATTGAATGACATGTAGTCATGATGTAGTCTGTTTAGTAAAAATATATGAGTAAAACTGACTTCACTTGTCTAATTTCACTTTTTTAGTGTAGTTACTAGGGAAATTCAAGTCACATGTGTGGCTTGCACTGTATTTGTCGTGGACAGCACAAAGTAGGACACCGTATGGATCCTTAGATAATAAACCTGCCACAGAGCGATGCACTTCTGATAAGCTCTCTTCCTCTCCTGCTCCTCCCACCCCACACCCACCTGTGCCTCAGTTATAGCCAGCACTCTTAGAACTAATGTAGCCCCCTTCACCACCAAAAATCCTCTCTCAGGTTCAGTCATGTCCGACTCTTTGCAACCCCATGGACTGCAGCACGCCAGGCTTCCTTGTCCATCACCAACTCCCAGAGCTTGCTCAAACTCATGTCCATAGAGTTGGTGATGCCCTCCAACTATCCCATCCTCTGTCATCCCCTTCTCCTCCTGCCTTCACTGTAAACATGTGGTGAGTGCCCACTTGTGAAGATAATGGGGTATTAGGACCGTAATCTACCAAAACCAACTGGGAAGTACAAGCTCTAAGCTGCATCATTTGTTAATTGATTGGTGAGAAAAGGTATGTATTTAGACTTCAGGAATTGCTGCCAGATTCAACATCATGCTCCTGCTAAAATGTCCACACAGAGCATGGGCAGACGGAATATGCAGACTTGATGGACAGTTCATCGATGGAAGGCCGCCATCTCTTATTAGTCCTCAGCTTTCACTTCCTCACTTATTGATTGTACCGGACACACCCTTGCTGCACACACCTGTTCATCAAACACGGATGCTGTTCCCACGTTGGCTTCCACACCCAACCACTTCAGGGTGGAAGCAAAATGCAGAAAAGTAGGAAGAAAAAGCCCTAGGGATTAGCGTGTGACTCCTGCTTCCCTTCTGCCCTATTGTTGGCTTATGTCTTGTTCTCTGAGTCACTTTTTCATTGGACTCAGTTTTAGAGTAAAAAAATAAATAAAAGATTTTTCAAAGTACATCATAAAGAATTTGGGCTCGATTGTATGCTCAATTATTTGGAATGTGGCCAAAATCCTTGCTTCATTCCATTGCTTCACTCAGAGTAGCTTCTGTAGGGAAGGTCTCCAGGTGAGAGGAATTAAAGAAAGATCTCTGTTCCAACTTGTCCTCATTATCACTCTTATTGTTGTTATATCTTGCTTAGTTTTATAAGAATAATGCTTCTAGCCCTTTGGAACTCTCCACTTAGTTTTTATAAAATTGCATTGTAATAAATTCAAGAGTCAACATAACCTTTTAACAAAAAAAATGAGACTTATCTTTCAAAGATTCCCTCTCCCCTGAACTTGAAGGATAAGGGAAATATCTTGTTGAATGAGTGTGAACTAAGAACCTAAAGAGCTCCATCTTTGTTCCGTGATTGTTTTGACTTACTAGATGAACTTGAATACATATCTTCTAAGCCTTAATTTTGTGAACTGGGGACAGAGTGTTGCCCCTCCTTCCTATATACAGATGGGTTTGCAATAAAAGCAATAAATTGGATGAAAAAGTAATAAATTATTCCCCAGGCTGCAGTCATCTTGACATTTGCAATTCCTTCCTGACTCCAGATTCTGTGATTATAAATAATGAATGCTTTCACTCTTTCCAACCACTGTGTTTCAACACACTGGTAAAATTTAAAGGCCTCTTTCTTATCACAGTAAGCCAAGCTATAATTTTCACCTTACACAGACTTCTAAGCACCTTTTTTCCCTCTTTGTATTCAAAGCTGAGCATATACTTCTTAAGGTCTTTCTACTTTCCCTGTTTGTCCCATTACCCAAGTGTTAAGCAAATTTTTAGTTATAAGATAAACAAGATCAAATCACCTTCCAACAGCACTGGGTGAGCCAGACACACACACAAACATACACAAAACTCCATAAATCCTTTTCTGATTAAAAGAACTGTTAAAACTTTGAGAATAAAGCAATTCTCTCTCTTATCATCATTAGGAAGAAGCCAATATCTGTGAAATGACAGATTCCTAATGAAAGCTTGACTCAGTACTGAATAATACAGTGTAAAACATTATTATCTCTTTTTAAAGGGTTTATACACTATATACATTTGTTTTTATTTTCAGATTACAGTTGACCCCTGAATAACTCGGCGGTTAATCCACCTATAATTTTTCGTTGAATTTTCCTATCTGTGGTTCTTTTACATCCTCAGAGTCAACCAACCTCAAACCATGAAGTGCTATAGCATTTCCTATTGAAAGATATCTGTGTAGAAGTGGACCTGTGCAGTTCAAACCCATGTTGTTCAAGGGTCAGCTGCGATTTTCCTACCAAAAATGCTACTTCCCGACCTAATTTGCCATTCTCAACGTTTTGAAAGCATTATCAAATAAGAGCAAGACAGAGTATAAACTGAAAAAAATCTATCTCTCTGGCCCATGGCTATAGCTAAGGTTTCATTAACAGTTTGAGCTGAAATACTCCTTCGGATAGCTCACCTAGGACCTCCAGAGCCTGGCACTGCCTCCCGTCCTGAGGTCAACAGCTGATCACCTATGTGTGCCCAAGCCCCGCCCCATCTGTGGGTCTGGCGGAACCTGTGGACTCCGACGTGTCTGCTTCTTTGGGCACCAGAGTCTCTCCTGGGGTTCCAGTGAGCGGCGCTTGCCTCTCCACCTGGGATGCTGCCAAGCAGACCAGATTTTGGGATTCCAGTGAGCGGCGCTTGCCTCTCCACCTGGGATGCTGCCAAGCAGACCAGATTCCTCAAAGAGCCAAGTCCCCTCCCTTCCTGTCTGTAACACACTGTTAGAGCTGTCCTCAGACAATATTATTTGTGCTTTGGCATTTTGCAGAGATTTGGTGAAGTAGCTCTTTGGGTTTTTATTTACTGACTTTCTATTCTCTGGTGTGTTGGACAGGAAGCCCATTGAAGAGAAGGAGGAAGGACAGAGAGAGTCAGGCCAACAACTAACCCCCTTCTATACTCAGGGTTGCCCCTCTCCTTGAGGATGAATGTCTCTTTTCTAGACATGAATGATCCCCAGTGGGCTTCAGTAGTCCCCACCAGAACTTTCTTCTGACTTCCTTACTACTTCACTCAACAAGCCGGAACCTCCTACAGTGGGCGCGCGCTAATTCCCTGGTGTCTCAGTCTGTAAAGAATCCACCTGCAGTGCAGGAGACCTGGGTTCAATCCCTGGATGGGGAAGATCCCCTGGAGGAGGGCATGGCAACCCACTCCAGTATTCTTGCCTGGAGGATCCCATGGACAGAGGAGCCTGGTGGGCTACAGCCCCTAAGGTCTCACAGAGTTAAACGAGACTGAAGTGACTTAGCACACACACAAGGACAAGCTAAGATGCCTACTAAGTGAGAATCCCCTGCACCAAGGAGTCTGTGCTGCAGTCCGTAGGGTTACATAGAGTTGAACATGACTGAAACGACTTAGCACACACACAAGGACAAGCTAAGATGCCTACTAAGTGAGGATGTATTTTTGTTTGGATGAAAACCATCCCAAACCAACCCCCGGGGACTGAACTTGAGGTTGAGAGACTGTGAGTTGAGGATGGGAGCAAGTCTGCCAGTAGTGATGATGGAAGTGGGGGTGGGAGTAGGCAGGAGAGTGGGGGAAATTGGGGAACTTTCAGGAAACGCCAGGGTGCTTGATCCCTTCACTCAGGTCTGCCTTCTCCCTGCAGAACGACATCTTCGAGTGGTCGAGGGACCACCGAGTCCATCACAAGTACTCGGAGACGGACGCTGACCCGCACAATGCCCGTCGGGGCTTCTTCTTCTCCCACATCGGCTGGCTGTTTGTCCGCAAGCATCGGGACGTCATTGAGAAGGGGAGGAAGCTTGACGTCACCGACTTGCTGGCTGACCCCGTGGTCCGGTTCCAGAGAAAGTAAGTGAGCGTTCGCCGTCGATATCCCTGAGGGACAGGACCCAGAGACAGAGCCCAGTGGGGTGTAATAATATCCCCAGGCAGTTCCCCTGCAGATTGGATCTTCTTGTTAGGGTCGCTCTCTGTGGATTCATTCCCTTTTGATCATGATGTTTTTCCCCTGCTCACACATTTGTTTTGAATTTGACCTTGATTTTGAAATGGAGTTCCTGTAAGCTCACTTGTCATTTCTTTCCGACCCATCTGCGTGGCTGGCTTCATGGAATGTCTCTGTTGTTTTCCTCACTCGCTCGTCCGAGCTTCCCTGGGCTGGCGAGCAGGGCAGAGAGGATTTGCTTTACTCTAGTGACATGCTGGACTCCAGTGGGACTGGCCTCCCTCTCCGTCCCCTGCTCTGCTCTCCCGGAATCCTCTCCTAGTGAAGTCTCCCCTCCCCCACTCCTGGAACTGTTAACACCACAAGGTTTCTGTGCAAAGAAAACATGACCGGGTAACAAAGAGCCTCAAAATGCTTGTGTGCATGCACGGTGTCAGCTGAGCGGTTTCAGCCCGTCAGCGTTTACAGGGTGAATCTCCTTTCAACAACCCCCCGGTGACAGCCTGCCTGTCATTGTGCTGCAAGTGGGGAGCATCCAAGGTTCACATTTCCATTAGGAAGCCGGCTTGGGCTGCATCCATGTTGCTCTAGATCTGCAGAGTTGGCCGCAATGTGTTAGTCTTAGTTACTCAGTCATGTCCGACTCTTTGTGACCCTGTGGACTGTAGCCCACCAGGCTCTTCTGTCCATGGGATACTCCAGGCAAGAATACTGGAGTGGGTTGCTATTGCCCTCTCCAGGGGATCTACCCGACCCAGAGATCAAACCCAGGTCTCCGGCATTGCAGGCAGATTCTTTACCATCTGAGCCACCAGGGAAACTCATGTTGGTTTAGATCAGCAGAGTTGGCCACAATGAGAGCACTTATAAATAGGTTCCTTGCCCCCAAAACAATGGATTTATGTGCAAAGAGAGATGACTTAAGGATGGCATTCTAGTGAGGGTCTTGAGATGGTAAGGTGGACAAATGGTCCCTGGAGACCATTCCACTGACAGGCAGGAATCATTTGAAGCATTCTCTCAAACAGAATCTCCTGATAATGGAAATGGAGTCTGTACGTTTGATGCAAAGCTTCTTGCATGAGAGGAAGTATGGCTTAGAAATGTGCCCCTTTGATCCTTAGCCTCTCTTCTTAGATCGAAGATGGTGGTGAGAAAAGGGAGGGTGGAAGAGACAGGTTGCACAGGCCTGCACTTGAGCACCTCCACATCCTTGCAAAAGAGTTGACTGCTCTCAGGGCTCATTTGTGGCTGCAAGATGGGGTAACAGTAGTACCTGTCTCTTACAGTTTTTGTGAGGACATAATGAAAACAAAAAGGATGGGAAATGCCTGGCACACAATGATAGATTCGTGATGACTCATGCCCTAGGCAGGAGCTACTCCAGTCCACCCCTGCTTCCACGGCCTTCGTTCCCCAACCCGGGATCAAACCCGTGTCCCCTGCATTGGAAGGCTAATTCTTAGTCACAGGACCGCCAGGGAAGTCCGCTAACCTCTGCTTCTGTTGGCTTCACCTCCGGGTCTTCTTTGTCTCCTCCAGACAGTTCTTTCAGGCAGACGCAACCAGTATCAATAGCCAAAAGTTTTATGGAAGAAAATAATAAGATGCTTTCAATTAAATGACTTCTTGATTCTGATTTTTTAACATGAGAGTAAAATAGGAAAACCTGCAGAATTCAGAGTAGAAAGAAAATCACCCACAGTTCTAACACATAAACACAACCACAGTTTAGATTCTATAACATCTTCTACATTTATGCTTACATTTGACATATTTTTACATGGTGAAAGTCATACTGCTTATGTAATTTTGTGTCTTGCCTTTTAACTTCAGATTATGTTGCAGGCACCATTATCAAAGGCTGCATGGGTTCACTGTTTGAGTGTCAGAGTTTATTTAACCATCACTCCACGACAGGAAATGGATGTCGTTTCTAATTTTGTGATATAAATGATGTTGCTATACAATTAGTAATGCTTTGGGACAATCAGACCTGAGATTAATTTGAAGAGCTCAGATGGGAAGGCAGAGGATCTTCTATTTTATTCATGAGAAGTGAGCCGAGTATAATAGTGTGGTTTCTCTGACCATAAAAATGGAAAAATTTTTTCAAGTTTTCTCTTTTAAACAATGTGGTAATCTGATTCATTAGGTGTATACTCATGGTGCATATGTCCAAAGACTATCTCTAAAGGCAGACAGAAGAACAAAGAGTATTTCAGCATATTCCCTGAATAGATGTCTGAGAACATCTTTCATCACCAGTTCAGTGACCGAAGGACTGTAGGATGAGAAACCATTCATTCACAGTATCATTTCATATATCATTGAGCTCCTGCTGGAAGTCAGAGCTGAGGATACAGTCTGAAAGATTGGTCTCAGTTTCCCCAGAATTTTCAGACTAACAGGGAACCCACAAATTAACTTACAGATAATTATACTCTAGAGGGAGGAGAATGATATATAATAGAGTAGAGTAAGGCACCATGGGAACACAGAGAGGGGTCTCCTAGCCCACCCTGCAGGCTAGAAGGAAGTAACTCCCAAGCCAAGACCTGAAGGATGAGAAGTTAGATAAGGATGGGGGCAAGAATATTTATTATGTCTGTCACTTCATAGGAGTCTATAGAGCCCTTGAGTTTTAGAGCTTTTTACAAATCAGTTAACCCCTGCTTTCCATTTTTCCTATGAGAAAACGAATAAACAAAGTGTAAATAGAAAGTTGGGAATAGAAGTACTGTCAGTCTGTTTGTGCTACCATAACAAAAATACTGACGACCAGGTAGCTTACACAATAGACATTTATTTCTCACAGTTTTGGAGGCTGGGAAGCCCAGGATCAAGGCACCAGAAGATTTGGTGTCCGGTGAGAGCCTGCTTCCTGGTTCCTAGATAGTTGTTGTCTTATGTCCTCACAGGGCAGAAGGGGCAAGAGAGCTCTCTGGGATCTCTCTCATAAGAGCCCTAATTCTGTTCATGAGGGCTTCACTTTTATGACTTATTCACCTCCCGAAGCCCGTCATTGCCTTGAGGATTCAATTTCAACATATGAAGTTCGTTGTTCAGTCGTGTCCAACTCTTTGTGACCCCATGGGTTGCAGCCCGCCAGGCTCCTCTGTCCGTGGGATTCTCCAGGCAAGATTACTGGAGTGGGTTGCCATGCCCTCCTCCAGAGCATCTTCCTGACCCAGAGATTGAACCTGCATCTCTCGCAGCACCTGCATTGCAAGCAGGCTCTTTACCACTGAGCCGCCAGGGAAGCCCTAAGACCCGATGCAGCCCCATAAATAAGTAAGTAATAATAATAAAAGAATCACTGAACTACAGCAAGAGAGCTACATTCATGAAGCCAGCTTTACCAGTCCTGTCATTCAGGCCCCATAGAGGACGTAGCTTCCTTAAGGAATGAGTCCTTGCTCATGGGGGTGGGAGCTGGAGCAGTGGGTCCCATCACGGGTGGCACGGCCGTATCGGGTCCCAGACCTTGCTGTTCTGTGCCAAGTGGGAGGGGCATCTTGAAAAACAGAAGAAGATGCTCACTCGTAGCCCAGTCTTGTGCCATGTCAGCAGCACTCCTGGACAGAATTCCTATCCCCTCTGGGGTCCTCTGAGGGCAACAGTCCTTGATCCAGTTTTAGTGGCCGGGATTTGCCACTGATTCCACTACCTCCTGGAGAGCAATATTGGTGCAAAGAGACCTAGCTAAACACTTGGAGAGTTTTCTCAAACAGGCAAATGTGTAACTGACAGAGACCCAGGATTTAGAGACTCCTTCACTCAGAAGGTTTCCCAGGTGGCACAATAGTAAAGAATCCACCTGTCGAGCAGGAGACTTGTATTCAATCCCTGGGTTAGAAAGATTCCCTGGAGGAGGAAATGGCAACCCACTCCTTATTCTTGCCTGGAGAATCCCATGGACAGAGGAGCCTGGTGGGCTACAGTCCATGGGTTCCCAAAGACTGAGATATGACTTAGCGACTGAGCACACACACACCTTCAATCAGAACACGAGCACTGATAATTTTCGTTTTATTTTATTTATTTTTTTGGCCACTGTGTGCAGCATGTGGGATCTTAGTTCCCCAACCAGGGATTGAACCAATACCTCCTGCAGTGGAAGGGTGGACCACCAGGGAAGTCCCCTAGCACTAATATTACAGTTGATGGAGCCACTGTGCTTGATCATCCTAATGACAACCCATCAAAAGAAAAGCTTGCCTGAGAGCCAAGCGTGCTCAGCTTTCCATCATACAGTCTAATAAAAGAGAGGAAATAGAGGCCTTAAGGGTAATAGGGCTTCCCTTGTGACTCAGCTGGTAAAGAATCTGCCTGCAATGTGGGAGACCTGGGTTCCATCCCTGGGTTGGGAAGATTCCCTGGAGAAGGGAAAGGCTACCCACTCCAGTATTCTTACCTGGAGAATTCCATGCACTCTATAGTCCATGGGATCACAAAGAGTCGGACACGACTGAGCAACTTTCACTTAAGGGTAATAGGAAAGTGGCACAGTTGTTTGAGTTCCAAACTTTTCCTCTAAAAGGTCATTCTACCAAGGTGATTACAAGCAGGTAGCTGGACAACTTCAGGTTTTGCTCTGTTGTCAAGTTGTGAGTGCTGAAAGGGCAGGCATTAGGAGATGAGAGGGTGAGAAGCCCGTGGTATCACATTTAGATCATGGTGGTTCGGGTCCCTGCCTGGCTCCCGTGCCTTCAAGAGCTGTGTTTGTCCTCGCAGGGCAAGAAGATCACAGAGCACAAGGGCTTGCACCTGGAACCTCCTTCCACTTCTAGGCCTTGCCTCGGGGTCCTAGGATCCTGGAATTCCCTGCCCAAGCATCTCTGAGCTCACTTTCAGAGTCTGCACCAGCCTCTTCTCAGCTCTGTCCTCCTGAAGGGAAGTG